GGAAAAACAACCCCAGAAACAACACCCGGGGGCAGAATCCAGCCGGAGGGGGGTATTTATAGCTGACATTTAGCGGATAAAGGCGGCGGCGGCGCAGCAGGGCGCGCGGAATGCGCGTTCAGGAGCGCGAGGCTGACAGATCACCGCACGCGCGGGCAGGAAGTGGAGAAGACTTCTGCCCTCGGAGAAAACATTAAAGCTAAGCAGGGAGAGGAGGGAGAGGGGGGTTAAGGCAGGTGGGCCGCACGCAAACCCCCCAAAAAACTCCCAAAACCCGTCTGGAAGCAGACGGAATAATGAGAAAAAGCCCAGAACAAACAGATTCCAGCGGGAGGGGGGAAAAACTCCAACCGTCCCTGGAATTTATCACCTCCCAAACCTCACTGTACCGCAAAAAAAAGAGGAAAAAAAAAGGCTTAGCAGCTCCTCGCCTGAAGGTAAACGTTTAAAGCTTAAAGCTCCGCATATTTCAGCCTCCGGAGGCCGGCTGGACTCTGAGGAACCCCCGAAAACCGACCCCCAAACCCGGGTGTGCCTCGGCCACTCACCTGCTCCGGCCGGGGGACATGGCGGCTCTTCTGTGGCGGCTTTGCTTTGAACACGGTTCGCCTCGCGCGCGGTCAGGTGCCGCTGATCACGGTCCCCGCCGCGTGCGCGGCGCGCGGCGCATCCCCGCGGCAGACGCGCGGATTCCTGACCCCCAAACGCCGTCCACGTCCATCTCTCTCCTCTCTGTCCGGCCGGGGGGGTTAGGGGGTTTTAGGGGTGGGTGGGGGGGGTTTAGGGGGATTGTCTCCGTCTGTTTGCCATCAGTGGCAGAGCTCGTGCGTCCAAACAGCTGTTTGCGTCACGCGCCCCGGTCCCCAGAACTGGAAGTTTTGGAAAAAGAGAAGAGTCCAGATGGGGGGGGGGGCCTCCCCGGGTCCGGCTGTGAAAAACCCCGGGTGGATAAAAAGGAAACGGGCTTCCCGGAATGAACCTCTTCTCCGGGCAGGTCAGGGGCTTCCGGGGGGCTCGCGCGGGGCTCCGGGCAGGTGAGGGTTCTTCCGGGGGGCTCGCGCGCGGGGCGGAAGCGGTGGGGACGGCCGGTGAGGAGCGCAGAGCTCCGGCTAGGATCGCTGCTCCGTCCTGGGTGAGAGCCGGGAGTGTAGTGTAGTGTAGTGTAGTGTAGTGTAGTGTAGTGTAGTGTAATGTAGTGTTGTGTAGTGTAGTGTAGTGTAGTGTAGTGTAGTGTTGTGTGTCCGCCCCCACGTCCACCTGAACACGCCCCCAGTCGCTCTTCTGGGCTTCACCTCTGTGCTGGAAAACGAGCGTTTCAGTAAAAAGAAATACTCAGATGAAGAGTTTCGTTTTCATTTTAGGGTTCGGAATCAACCTGAAAGCGGAAATTAGGGATCAACTTCTGCCTTTTACCTGTGGGAATTTACGACAGGTGTCAGACTAAAGTTTACGAAGGGGCATGAGGCCTAAGAATATCTGTATAATCCTAATTTGGTTTATTTGTGTCCATGTTTTGTCATTTAAAATTGTCTAAATTTGTCATCCGTCACATTATTATTTTTGTTATTCTATTTCTTCCAAAATCTTCAAAATGTTGATGCCCTTTCATTGTTTTGCATGTAATGTACCACATTTTTAAACTTTTGTTCCATATGTTCCAATAAAGATTTGAATTATGTGAATTTGTTTTTTGAAAAAATACAAAACTTTACGAACCATACATTTAATTTTTCACAAGCAGGTTAAAGCTGCCTCTTCCTGGTCTGTGAACCAGTTAAAAACATAAAAGAGACTTCCCAAATCATTTACTTTTTTCCAATGATCACATTATTAACTCGTCATTTTAAGACTTTACAGACGTAAAGTTATTTATCTACTTACTTAGTTGTCAGACTCATGTTGAACAGGGATTTACTCTGATAACAACTTAATGGTTAGGACACAGACCTGTGGTTACAGATGCTAATGCTAATGCTAAAGAAACTGGATCTGGAGTCTGGATTGGTATTTTCTGATCCAGATAAGGGATCAGGACCAGCCTAAGCTGACATGCAGTCTCCTGTTCTGTGGAAAACCGTTTACTCCAGGTTGACAGCCCCCCCCCCCCCCCGGCAGGCGTCTGCTCGGGGAGGCGGCGGCGTGTCCGGACGGATCCCTGCTGATGGCCCCATTCCAGCAGAGGCTCTCAGAGGAGAACTGGAGCCCCGCGGGCGCCCGCCCGGGTTTCGGGAGGGGGGGGCAGAGGGCCGACTCCAGCTTCCTGCTCACCGGGAGAGCCACTGGGAATGCCAATGGGAGAGCCAATGGGCCAATGGGAGCCCCACTGGGAATGCCAATGGGAGAGCCAATAGGAGAGCCAATGGGAGCGCCACTGGGCCAAAGGGAGCACCAATGGGAGCGCCAATAGGAGTGCCAATGCGAGAGCCAATGGGAGAGCCAATGGGAGCACCAACAGGCCAATGGGAGCCCTACTGGAAGTACCACTGGGAGTACCAATGGGAGTGCCAATGGGAGAGCCAATGGGAATGCCAAAGGGCCAATGGGAGCACCAATGGGCCAATGGGAGCACCAATGGGAGGACCAATGGGCCAATGGGAGCACCAATAGGAGCGCCAACAAGAGCACCAATGGGCCAATAAGAGCGCCAATAGGAGGGCCAATGGGAGTTAACAGAGGATGTTCGACTCCGCCAATGTTTAGAGAAGAATCGGGGCTTCATGTGGAGGAAAAATGTGAACATACGAGCAAAGAAAAAGCAAAACTTTGCCTTTTTTATGCTTTTCTCACAGAAAATAAGAGATGACGGCTCTAAGGCTTCTGACAGGTCATTTTTTAGTCTTTTGGCTTTGAGGGAAGGTTTTATTGGCCCCCAGGAGTTGATTTGTTTGACTGGTTTTCCCCTTTGTGCTCACATCCTCTCTTTGTAATCCAACCCCCCAGATAAGCTTCAGCTTTAGACACGTTTTGGCCTTTTAGAGTCATTTTTATCTGGATTCTGTACCATTAAATCTACTTTTCTTGATACTTTTTTCAGTTCTCAGTGTCCAACCTCACTATTATTTTGACCCTTTTGCTGTTTTGTATATATTTCTAAGGCCTTGTTTTGGGTTTAATCGCTCAGCTCAACTCCAGATGTGTCCAGAGTGGTTTGTGAGTCTGGGATTAAGCAGAAACCTCCTCATCTCAGTCCCAGTGAGCGGGGCTCGGGGCTCTGGATGCCTGTCGGGTCTTGCAGAGAGAC